AGTATTTGTTTATCTTATTTAAGAGAGACTAGTAGTATTTTCTGTTTACGTATTGCAAAAATATTGATTTATTCAAGCTGTCCGTCTAATTTTCGGTATCATATTGTATGAATATCAATTCATAGAATTAAATAAAGTAATGAATAAAGTATTTCTGTGAATTCTGATATTTCAGTGTGGAAGGTAATATTAATAACAGAATATCTATATTTATAATGATTAGGAATAATTCGCCGAATTGCTAGACTTTTGGTTTGGGCTCTAATGTATATATATATCTTTATATGAATAGTAGAAAATATAAACATTTTTATTTACGGCAGTTTTACAATTTATTGCAGTCTTACAGTTTTGCAGCCAGTTTATATTTAGACAGAATATTCTAGTTTCACTCATTTTTCGACACAGACGCATGTATGTTTCATAATTCTGTTAGAGAACAGTTTCACTTAGCAGCTTTATATGCCAGATCTGTTCTTATCAACCCTTTCTTATTTGCGTACTCCTACGGAGCTCATTTCCGCAAGCTGAATGACAACCATCTGCACGAATTTTTAATTAAGGTGGTTATTATCAGTATGTCAATTACATGGGACTCAGGAAAAATGCCTTCTTTTTTTTTTTTTTTTTTAGTCCAAAGGGATTTGAATTCCGAAGGACTATTAGTTTCGTTTTGGCATTTTGCGTCGGACTCATAAATGTCGGTTCACTTTTCAAAGTGTTGCCACAAAAGGTTAGAGTCCTAAATTATATTTGAAGAAATTAAATAATGAAAAATCTGCATAAATGTATGTATATTTCTCGTATTGTGATAAAACAACGGTACATAGAGTCATCGAATTTTGAATAACGTAATCCTCCAACGAATATGAGCATGTGGAAGACCAAATTTGAAATTTGAAATTTGTTTTATGATCGATTTCCTATTTTTTAAAACTTTGACGAATTTTTGATTAACAAACTCAAGGATTTCAAAGCGAGCAATGGCAACGTTGTGCAGAAAAAAACATTTTTATCTCCAGCGCGTGAGTCTCTGTATCGGAAATTCTAAAGATATGCTCGTTTTAAAACTATTTTGCGATATTGCTGTTACACTGGATCTTATGGTTTAAGTGCGAGGAACATGATATTTAATAAAGAAAGGTAACACACAAAATGTTAAAAAACGCCCCTTTGGACGTAATTTAAAATCTGAAACATTTCAGTTTTTTTTTTTTTTTTTTTTTTTTTTTTTTTTTTTAGTCCAAAGGGGCTTTGTCCCTGAAGGACTATTGTTTTCGTTTTGCGATTTAGCGTCGGACTCATGAACGTCGGTTCACTTTTCAAACTGTTGCCTCAAAATGTTAGAGTCCTGCATTAGATTTGAAGAAATTAAATAATGAAAAATCTGCATAAATGATTGTCTATTTCTCGCATTGTGATAAAACAATGGTACATAGAGCCATCGAATTTTGAATGACGAAATCCTACTGCGAATATGGGCATCTGAAATCCCAAATTTGGAATTTGTTTTATTATAGATTTTATATTTTGTAAAACTTTAACGAATTTTTGATTTACAAACTCAATGCTTTAAAAGCGAGAAATGGCAACGTTATATAGAAAAGAAAATACTTTTATCTCCAGCTCGCGAGACTGTGTATATCGGAAATTCTAAAGATATGCTTAATTTAACATTATTTTGCGGTATTGCTCTTGAACTGAATTTTATGGTTTAAGTGCAAAGAACATGATATTTAATAAATAAAGGTAACACTCAAAACGTTAAAAAAACGCCCCTTTGGACGTAATTTAAAATCTGAAACATTTCAGATTTTATATATATATATATATATATATATATATATATACCTTTTCAGGACTTGTGTTTCTCTTGAATTGCTTTGGAAACATGAATGATCCTGTATAGGAACAGGGAGCTTACTCAAGCTATGTTCAAGAAGGTGTGAAGTATACAACAGAAGCAGGAAGGGTATACGAAACCCTTTATTTTCAATACTTTACAGGTATTTCCGAACTTTGGAATACAGAGACCAACCGCTTGTGGTCTGAACGTAAGAATATAAAAAACTACTAACTATAACTAAAAACTAACTTTGAATTAGTATGCAAATGCCTAGCACTAAGATTGGCCTTTACTTAAAGAAAGGTACGTATGTAGTACGCCGAGCTTCTAAAACTACGATACTTCTGCAAATATAAAGAGGGCTAAACATCTGGCCTTAAAGGCAACCAGCAACAGAGTGAAAACTCGTAAAACTACAGTGGCAAGCGGCTTACTTCCTAAAACTCCTTCTCTTTCTCTCTTGGCAAAAAGCCACAACTTAAGTACTTGGCGTTAGCAAGACAATTTGCATAAACAAGTTAAAGCATTTAATTCTGGCCGGAAGTAGAAAATAAGAAGTGATAGTACAGTTTTAAAAATAAAATAAATGTTAGTAAAACTTAGGATCCTTACAACCTTCCCTTTGACAGGTGTAGAGAATCTAACAAAGAATTTGTTAGATGACAAAATAAAGAATTTGCTAGAAAACTGCACGACTTTGCTTTTAAACTTCCTCTGGGGATTATAAATCACTATTTTCGACTTTCAGATATTGAGAAACCTTTTCATACAAAATAAATATTAAATGAAAACCTGGTATGAGCTAAAGCAAACATTAATTTTATTAACGTTCATATTATGTACTCTTCGTATTAAAAACTGTTTGTAATTATTATATGAGCTGATGTTTGTAAACAATGTAGCCAGTCTTCATAATGGGGATACTAAGCAATGGCATTTCCTCAACACATTCTTTAAGGATGAACACGCCACAATTCACTAAATAATTAAAGTAAAATCACAGGACTTTTATCGAAGTCTAACAATAATGAAACCCTTCATTGTGGTTCATAATAATATTCAGTTAATTTTGCAACCTCTGCATTTGTAGCTTGTCGTTCATTTCTGTTTAATATGTGACGTTTTCTGTCTTCAGTATTTTTCGCGTATCTGTAAGTGTACTAGTTTGTACCTTTGAATGCAGACTGCGAATCACTACATTAGATACATGTCAGCCATTTTAGGATTCGTGAAATACTCATGTAACGTACGAAGCCCATGTTATGAAAGCGAACGGTGAAAAGCAGCCAGACATTAACGCCTTCTAACTGCAGAAGCTGTTGTCTGGGATTATGTCTTTACGGCTTGATTAAAACAATTGAAGAAGTGCAACATCCTCCTATACAAGTGCAACATTATTATGAGGAATTATAAAATTATTTGGAGATACCTGATAACGCACCTGCGCCCGTTGGAGTTGAGCAGTGATAAAGAATTGCATACATACTATATTAAAAAAACGATTTATTTAAATATTTTTTATCTCCCATTAAAGTTTCTTTAAGGAGTTTAAATTAACCTGCACGCATGTTCAGTCTTAGGATGTCTATGTATAACTTTTTGCACTATAAATTTTAATGTCAGTAGTTTTCTAACTGACTCAGTCTGCCTCAAATTGCTTTAAAAGTTCTTTTAGTTAGACCTGGAGATCGGCCTGGATTCAAGCATCGGCGACAATTGTAGCCGCCTAGGCCATCAATTTTCGAAGGGCATTAGCAAAATTGTTTTCACAAACCACAGCTAAATCAAGTTATATTTTGCTCTAAATTATTAATATGCTCAATTTATACGCGACTCTATCTATACTGATCGTCTACAACACTGAAAATGCTAGATCCGGATTTATCCGGAGAATATGCAGCTGAAACATAAGTTTTTTTATGGAAATGAATTTTATGCGCTTCATACTATTCGTTCTTCGTCTTTCATTTAAATATTTCTAACAAAAATAGCATTCATCTATGTAGAAAATATGTAGTTAAAGCAAAACACTCAAAATCTATCTGCTTAAAAGAAGAGTGTCTGTTTGAAGGACCTCCTAAGGTCCACTGGTTATGCGTGAGGAGAACCTCGCATTTAACAGTAACTTCAAATAAGTGATAAGTTGTTTGCCTTCCCGTGCTAAGTCATGTCATCTGGCTAAGCAAAAAAATGGCATCTATTATGTATTTCGCGCTCTCAGATTTTTCCTGGGAACCTTTCCTTGCAAATGAACTCAGTTATTTGAAATCATTTACTACTGACCGGGGATTTTCTCTCATGGTCGTTGATAAAGCTTTTAAAAAATTTTCATGTTGCCCGCAAAGAAGATATTCCGCTGTTAGAAATAATATTAATAACCTTGTCATGCTTCCATTTATTCTTCTATCAGTTACAAAATTGCACGGATTAGCCAGAAGTTCAATTTACAAGTCATTTTCTCGCCTGTCAATAAAATCCATGGTCCGATTTTTAAAGATTCCGTATCTAACCTTAATTCTTTGGGAATTTATAGCATGTCTTGTCAGTATGGTTTAAGATGTATCGGCCAAATTAAAAAAACTTTAAAGTTTCTCGTCAATGAACACGAATCTTATGTCCGAAAAGGCGAAATTAACACTTCTTCGATAGCTAATCATAGTTGAATATTTAATCACAATTGGATTTTCTTAACTCTTTTCCCATTTTAAAAGATTTATCTTGTTTTAGCTAATGATTTTAATTCCAATCCAGTCCTTCCTAACGCTTTTAAAAGTCTATTAACTTAATTTTAAATTTTCGTTACTATTTCTACAGACAGATCGCGCTACCTTCTCATTAGCTTTACTTCTTTTGGGTATAAATACAACCATAGTTTCCCCTTCGTTTCAGATTTCTTTGCTCTTAATAAAGTGGGACCTGTATCTGTTTGCCGTCGAAATCGATAGTCTTGACTAAACTTGATAGTCTCTACGCCAAACACAAGGTTGTTGCTTTGCTTAATTTTAGGAGATAAGTATTCGATACTTCCATATACTGGCCAGTTCTACATTTCGATTTCGAATTCGGCTGCAAGTAGTTTCCATTTTTTTTTTTTTTTTTTTCCCTCTATATTTACAATCTTTTTTTTTTTTTTTTTTTTTTTTTATCTTTTCAGAAGTGACAATCAAGCTGCTGCGGGAGAAGGTCAGGGAGTTTGTTGACAAAGAAGAGTCCACTCTACAGGTAAGAAAGATTCATGCCTTTCATCTGTAACACTTTAGCCTTGATAAGAACTCGTCCAAACCTTAATTGAGATACGGGATTAAAATATTAGCAGATTTATTTGATATCATATTTGCATTTTTTTTTAAATATTTGATACTTGAAAATTTAAATAAAAAGTAAATTAAATTAAATAAAAAATTAAATAAATTTAAGTGTCCAGTATGTTTCAGACATGTGCTTATAAGTGCAGTTCAAACAACCAAAAAACTACAAATATCCATTGATATCATACCATTTCAAAGGGGACTGGAATTGTGTGTTTGATACAAATTTCCATTGCTAAATGTGATATTGAACAAAAATTATAGACATGCTGCAGGCAGCCATCCTTTCCCCCCCCTTTTTTTTTTCGTTTAGAAAACCTTTTAAGTAAAAGAGGGTTTGTTCAGATATTTGTAGAATCCTTGGGTAAAATTTATGATATCTACAGATTCACGGCACGTTACCATTATAAATAAATCGGGTTATAACTGTGAATGCTGTCTCCATTAGGAAATGCACTTTTTGTCACATTTATTTGTAGCAATTAATTAATCTACATTTGTGGCTCCTGCTTTCCACAATGGTTATCAACAGTAATACAAATTAGTATAGTAAGTAGTGGAAAATTTAGTTTTTAATATTTTCTTACATCACTTTTTATCTTATCCAGGTATGCTTATATCTTTTCTCTCCAATAACTAACAAGTAAAATGCTAGGTATTAAAAGTTGTGTTTTTTTAAAAATAAATACCATATTTACTGGAATATTTCCTCTTGCTCCCCCCCCCCTCCCGTGTATTTCTCGTAGCGTTTTAGCGCAAGTTTCTGAAATTTTTTTAAGTATTTACGTAATTTCCAATTCCACAAGACAGTCGGCAAGCCAGCTTCCCTAAATTTTGAAACAGATTCGTGGACGTAGTGGAATTTTGTCATACTAATTGATTTGCTCTCGGAATTTGAGTTCAAGAGCTCTGATTCATGAAGCAATTGTAGTGAAGAGCTTCTCAAAGAGGGGAGTATATAATATTGTTGATGGTTCTGAAGAACATTGCATGTGGAAAGGTAGATGAAATGGTGTCGAAGACGATGGCAACAGGTAACGAACTGAACCTGTGCAGACGACTCAAATAGCACTTCCAACAGCATTAAATAATTCGAAGATCTAGGTTATTAACAGTGAACAATGATAAAAGCTAGTGAAATTCAAGTTACAGGGAAGCAGAAATTTCGTAGTTAGAAAGTTATCGTATAAGATATTGTAATTTAATAGTACCATATATTCTTATTGAAATCTTCGAAAATTAAATTATTTTTCCTTCTTGACTTTTATATGATAAAATTAGCAAAAAAGATCTGATGCGGACACCTTATGACTGTCTTGTGCAGTGTATTAAATTATGCACATTTTTTTTCTGCACGTCTTTTAAACGTTTTTCCTCAAATTATTCTATATTAACCGATCGCTTGAGGCAAGCTGAAAATGACATCAAAAACTGCAGGTTTTGAAGCTTATTCCTATCAATTTTTGTCAATTTTGTCAGTCAAATTTTATCAATTTTTTTGTACGATAGTCAAACTTCTTATAATTTTATTTTTTTACAAGTGTATAAAACTTTCCCAAACATAAGTATAGGAATCGGGCAACTGCATTAAAAATTAGATTTCGCTATCTGTCGAAAATGTTAAATGTTAAAGTCAAATTAAAAACTTTTTTAATTTGACATTGCCGAAACATGAATATTTTCGTCATTTAAAACACTTCTGTATATTTAAAACACTTCTGTATTTGGAAGTATACGAAAAAATTCATCCAAATAGATTCGGGAACTGTCAGAATGGATAATTCCGTTAAAAAATGACACCCGAAATTTTTCGCATTACAATACTTCCTTTATTTCGTTCAAGGAAGTAAAAAAAAGGGGGGATTAGCAATACTTGATTAAACTCGATGTAATTTTTAGTCAGTCATTTTCTTTAAGGAATAGAACAAAAATTTATGTTATAGTTCTTCAAATAAATCTCTTTCTCACAATTCTTAACTGTGATAAAAATATCTGATATATGACAAAATGATTTTTATTAAAACCTGGCTGAACAGACTTTTACAGAAATATAACATAAAACTTAAAGAAGTTGCTACTTTCTATGTAATTTAAGTGACAATCACAGACTCATATTTGTCGAATAATAGTATTTTATGCATGGTAATTAAAGCGGGGTTTGTTTAATAAAACAGGCTAGTTGAGATTTTTTTTTATTTAATATACGTTCTTTGTTAAAAATACAAAATATAAATCTCTAAACGGGATTTTCAAAGATGTCAGAGCTAAAGTGATATTGAATTGCATTAATTTTAATTTTAATACTTATAATAATTATCAAATAATGCATAAGCTTTTCTTTTTATAACATTCTATAGATTTATTTTTTAAAAGTGCATGAGAAAAGAAAATAACAGTAGTTTAAAAATAGTCTATTACGAAGATCATGAGATCTAATTTATTCATTTTACCATTTATTAAATCGCCTAGGAAATGAAAAGCTGATTAAATTTATGATTAAGTTATTCGGCAGATTAAGTTATTTGGCTGAGAAATTTCACATTTTATCCAAGTCCTTTTATCGAGTAACTTCTTTCTCATGCAAAGAAAGGATAATGGGTGCGTAACGTATGTAATTAATTACAGTGAATATGTTGCAAGCAGCGGGTGGGAGAGAAGTATCCAATTCGAATTATAAGATTAGGCAAAATGCAAGAAATAAATTAATTTTTTTAAAAATTAACCTGTCTAAAAATTGAGGTTGCATTTATAGAAAAATAGTAATATACATTTTGAAAGAGTTCTGCACATCCCTCTTTTCTTTTAAGAAGAGAGACCCTTGCCGAATTTCTCGTAAATGAATCGAGATATTAGACAAACTAATGTAAGGTTTATGTTCGCCTAATTTCAAAAGTATACATTTCATAAGAAACCATATGCTTATAAGGAACATGGTAAAACTTTGTGAAGGGAGTGTGCAGTTAGATCAGTGTCGAAAATTCGAGTTCAGGTAACTCCAGGGAATGTCATCAAACGAGAATTAGTAAAAGTAGACTGCTAATTCCGTTAGAACAAGGAGCTCTTTCTGCGGACGGAAAGGTCTTGCATTGTAATTCTAGTCGGTCCACTAGTGGTTGACAGTGAACACTGGTAGTTCGATCCCAGTTTAAATCCCGGTGAACAGCTTGGCTTTCATGGGGGTTTCGTGGTTTTCTCCACGTGTAACATGAATACAAGCCAGATTTCCTTAGAAAGTCCTCCACGAAAACATCTCTCTCTCTCTTTAGGGAGATAGCCATAGAGAGCTTTATTATAACCTAAATAATTCAATCCAGTCTAATCCCTGGAAACATAGATCAGATTGTCAGTCCTTTGAGAAGTAGAAAGATGTGATTCTCGGTGGCAATATGTCACACAAAACGTCATGAGAATAAAAGAAAAGGGGCAGAAGTTCGCAATGTTAAACATTGTCGTACATAATGTGCTGGTAAAAAATGAAACAGCCCAAAGTAAAGGAGCACTACTAGAATTACTAATTCTGAGCAAATAGACACAGAAAATGAAATCAGTTGAAATTCATTCTACCTCACCACTTATGAGGGGTTAAATTAAAATATACAAATACAAAGTTACCAGCCAACCGGACGTGGTTTAATACACAAGCTTCCTTTCACAATTGCTATAAATACAACAATTTAATTTAACTTGAGTGGCTTACGATGAAACTGAAACGTACCGCTTAAGAAAATCTGATCTGTCTTCCGTCTATAGCAGTGGTTCTGACCTTTTTTTGGCCCCATGCGCCCCTTTCATCATTGCTAAACGCTCATTCACGCCCGTCCCCCACTCCTTTCAAAAATTGAGGCGAAAAATGTTGATAAACACCAAAACTTCAGTATTTTGTTACATCCATAAACTAAAACTACATATTTAACAGGTAAATAAAAGGCTGGCCGCATTCCCCACTAAAACGACTAAATCCCCCGCTGCCTTACTCCCAGAGAAAAATTCTACACATTGTTGAGAAGCCGTGGTTTGTAGTATCCCAGTCAGGATAGCGTTCTATCGGCAAGACAGCAGTAATCCCTAGGCCGAAACTGTCACACTCCTATTCATTATTCGCTAAACTTTATACTAAAAAATGCTTCTTACTCAAACCTAAATAAATTCTGGGATGAGCGAACCTTGAGGTGAAAAGAGGTAGAAAAGAAACAACATTTCGTTATAAAGCATAAATGCCACACTCTAATCACGGTTTCTTCGGAATCCCTAGAGACTTCTCATGGAACATTCAATTTCTACAGACCCTCAATTGGATAACGCCATAAGAAGGCTTGTATTTGTTCTTTCGATCTTTTTGCGCATAGCACCTCACTGAATACTAATCCTTTGTCAGTTGCTAAATTTCTTCCCCCCCCCCAGGCTTGTAAGTGTTACTTTTTAGCTTAATTGCTTTCAACTGGCTTTCCTATTTTAAATTTGATTCTGAATATACAACTAACGAAATATAACTGGTTCTGTCGGAAAAAAATCGTGAAATTTTACGTATTTGTAGGGAGATGATTGAGCATGTGAGTTCATTAGACTAGGTGTTAAAAGGTCTAATTAGACTTTTGACATATAAAGCTGTAACCTAGATATTGACTGAAAAGGATAAAGAAATGCTTACACTTATTTGAGATAAAGATTTTGAGAAGCATTGTTGGAGTTACTAATTCAGAAGTCAAACAACAAAAATCAGCGTTAATTTACAAAATTTTCACAGGACTAGTTTCGATGGTTTTACCGAACCATCATCTTCAGCTGCAAAACCGCAAATGAACAAGATAGGAAATAATGTTTAGATAAGATAAGAAAGCCTGGACAAGAATAAGCAAGTGGCGCCATCTGTTGGCGAAACCAGAACTAAAACATAATTTCTCTAAAAGCCGAAGG